TGGATGCATTTGCAGAAGAGGAAGGCATACTTTACAGCCCTGGCGTCGCAGACTAAGCTTATATAGTCCTAAGTCCCCTACACTACTTTTCTCTATCGAAAACTTTAAACCCGTTTTTCTCAAAACGTAAAATTTCGCGCGCCGTGCAATGTAGTTCAAAGAATTCTCAACCGATTTTAATGAAATTTTATAGACATATTCTTTGACTTTGCATGACACTAAAATTTTATTAAAAATTTAATAATAAATATTGTTTTTTACCATTTGTTTGTAACAAAAAAGTGATTTTTTTTTCAAAATTGTCCTGAATTTTTAATTTTTGATTTTTTTTTAAATCGACTGTCATGCAAAGCATATTAACATATTTTAACGAAAATTTTTGGTTTTTTTATTTCAATTAATTAGAGCGACCTGGGCGTTGCACGGCGCAAATTGTAGAAGCCCACTTCAAGCAGCTGCTGCGCCGCCATTTTGAAATATTTTTACATAAAAAAAATATATAATATACCTTAAATCCTATATATTACAATGTGCTTTATATCAATTTCATAAACTTTTTCATTTTTCAAAAAAAAATTCTTGAAGAAACGGCTATTTACATGACCCTCCCCCTTTAAACATAACTGATTAAAAAAAGTTTTTTATTCAAAATATCTGAATATTACAATATTGATATTTATCACACAATTACCTGTGTAATAAATACTTACATATACGTACTTGGTTAATTATATTGATCTCACTTCTTTTTTGAATATTTAAAACATCTGCACTTTGTTTAATATATACTTAATATATATAGTTAATATATACTTTTAGTTTTGTTTTTTTTTTTGGTACTTTTTGTTTTAGTATTTTTTGTATAATTGAAATTTATCACACAATTACTTATGTAATAAATACATACATATACGTACTTCGTTAATTATATTGATTTCATTAAAATTAATTATATTGATTTCTTTTTTTTTAATATAATTAATTTAAAACATCTGCACTTTGTTTAAGTTAATATGTACTTTTTGTTACGTAGTTTTTGTTTTGGTATTTTTTATTTGATACTTTTTTTAGTACTTTTTTTATACGTACTCGGCGTCTTTTTTTTTCTTTTGTAAAGACTGTTTGTTATGATCTCATTGCTTTTTGTGTAGATTATTTAGGTAAGACTTTTACCTTACTTTTTCAGCAAAGAAAATGTATACATCCTTGGAATTTCGTGATCAACTGCATTTTTTTATTGTGGAATCATTAATTGATATCCATTCTGTGTGCTTATTACGCACAACGCTTGTATAATGCCCATTAGTTATAATTTTACCATTGTGGAAAATTGCACTAATAATTTTATATATATATATATATATCTGTGCCTATACGTACTTTTGACGTAGATACACCTTTAATTCTTAAATTTGTAATTTTAAACGATTTGTTATTAGCGGTTTTAAATAACCATACTTTTAAAATGAAAATATTTTTGTTGTTATTATCTTGTTTTTCAATTACTGTGTTTTCTCCATAATGAGTACATATTTTTTCACTATTTGTCCAGCTTGTAAAATTATATTCTATTAATTCTTGTAAAGTATATGATTTTTCTAATTTTTCTGGCAATTGAAGTAATAGAATATGATTTGACTGGATCTCTATATTCGTATAATTATATATTTTGCATCGTATTTTTACACATATATAATGCTCTATTATATTCTTCATACCATTTATACTGCTAATAAGATGTTATAAATTAAAAATTATATATATATATATATATATATATATATATATATATATATATATATATATATATATATAG